CTGGTGGTGGGTATTAAAGAGGGCACGTTCTGCATGGAGCACTGGATGTTATACGCAAACAATGAATCATGGAACACTACACCAAAAACTAGTGATGTAATGTATGGTGATTAACGTAACATAATAAAAAAAAAATGACCCCTCCTATTATATTGAATTATATTGAAGGCATGAAATATTTAAAAGTTATGTTGAATGTTTAAAAATTCAACTATTGAAGGTATGAAAGTTTTGAAAATGACTGGCTTCAACTTTAGCCAACTTTTTACCAACAAATATTTGAGTGTTTACAGGTCTAGCATTGATCTTATGCTAAAAGGGTGGAAATATTAATAAAAGTAGTAGTATAAAATGGTCTGTACCTTTGAAATTGCTTACAATGTCATTTCTTTATTATTTTCTTTTTTAGTGGTTTTTGCTGTTATAGATTGAATTTTTTTCCACTCCCCACAGGAAAGCTTAGATATGCCAACAACAGCAATTACAAAAATGATGTCATGATCAGAAAGGAGGTAAGTTCTTTTCAGATGTCTAATTTTTTACATTTAGCCCATTTTCTTCATGTCTTTTTTTGAATTTACAAAAGTACATCTCAGGCTGTATTGCTTGTAAAGAAGCCAGTCTATAGATTGAAAAAGGAGTCTATTTAAATAGATCTAAATGTAGGCATGTGTAACAGCCAAAGAAGCAATCTGATTATATTAAGTTGTAGTTCCATCTTTAAACATATAATTTCATTCATTTCATAATTAGCTTTGTCTTTTTATCCCATTCCCTATTTAAACTGATTGATAGTCAAGATTTAAATACAGTATTTTAAAGAATTTTAAATGAAAGGCCCGGAAGTTAAGGATAAGAAAAAGCTCAAAGCAGTGACTGTGATGTCTACTTGTATTTGTCTCTGTTCACCTCACAGATTTTCTGTTATCATTGTTAACCACTCAGAGGTATTTGAGTCCCGTGTTAAAAGGCAGGATCCAGGGTTTTAAAAGGGGGCTAGTGTAAGTTATCTTTTTTTTTTAATTTGGAAACAAATACATATTAAAGGAAAGGGCGAGAGAGTTAATAAAATCATAAGGATGAGTGATTATCTCCCATCTTGTACTTTTAGGATCAGTATTAGATTCTTCTGTGATATTCTCTTTGAATATTTAGGGTTTGTAACTTCATATTATGATTTCATTCTGAGTTGTGGAAAGTAATAGACATTGTGGAATTTTTATTGTAACTTGTTTTCAGGCTTATGTGCACAAGAGTGTAATGGAGGAACTGAAGAGGATTATTGACGACAGTGAAATTACAAAAGAAGATGATGCTTTGTGGCCTCCCCCTGACAGAGTTGGCCGACAGGTTCGTATACAGTAGTTCTTTACGTGCATACGTGTTGGAAATTGGTGATATAATTGTTACGTTTCTCCGTATTTACTTAGCATAGTTCCTCCTTGATTCTTTGGTTTTCCATTTAGTAGGCACCCGGTAAATACTCTTTAATTTTATTTCACTTAGTTTCATTTTCTGTTCTACCTCTGAATTGTAAAGGAGTCAGTGCAGAGCTCTAAACTTAGGCATCTTTCTGAGCAGTCTTCTCTGTAGCCTCACTGGTTAAAGTTAGGATGTTTTCATACTGTTAATGGATAATTGCTATTGTATATTAATTACTTCTGTTAAGAATAAGTACAGTGTTTGTGAAATTCAAGAGAGGATTCTTATTGATTGTAAAATTCACTTTCTTCATTTTTATAACTTTGAGAACTCTTTATTTGTACCCTTGTGCCCAAGAGAGGGATTTGATTGGTTTCTTTTTCAAACTGCTCATTGCTTTTGCTTCTTATTCCCTTCAGGGTAATTAATGTTTCTCAAAGGGCTTCTGGAGAAGTTTGAAGGCTTAATTTCACTCTGTAGAAAGACAGTTTGGGTTTTTTCAACTCTTGAAGAAATGAGATACAACTCCTGGAGGAAGAAATACTTAATTTCACTTTTATATATTCCTGAGAATTATACTTTATATCCCCTTCTTTGACTAGAAGAAAATGTGGAGAAATCAAATAGATGCTGACATTCTGTAGCAGTCATTTACCTCTTCTATTTAAAGAAGTATTATTTAGGAAAGCAAAGGTAATAGTTAACAGTATTTATGTTACACATTGTAAATACTTTTAAAAAGTAAATTTAAATCTCGGTTTGTTTTATGCTGTAGGTACATACGTACTAAAAAACAGACACTACAACAGTAAACTTTTTATCTATTTTAGACTCAGGGAGAACCCAGTATTTTCATCTACCGACTTGATGATGTATTTATATGTTTTGGTTAGTGGGGAGGGGTAGGCATGTTCCAGAAATCATCTATTGGGTCTTTAAGTCAAAGATTTTATGATCGTTTGAGAGCCTTAGTTAGTTCTCCATTTTGTGTGTGCCAAAAACTGTGCATAATTAGGTCCCATTATGAAATACAGAGCTAAGACCATCTTTAATGGCATTTGTTATTTAACCTGATAAATCATTACACACATAGCCTCATAATTATTGGTTTTAGATTTGCAGATAAAATCTAGAGAACAATTTCTACAATAATTATGGCACACTAAGAATGTCTACAGTATGTTGTATTTGTTTTAGTAGGTCTTAATTTTCAATGCTTTGTGAAGTCAAATCACAATGAGTCTTTCAGTCTTAACAGCCGAGGACTCAAAATATCAATACCATCACTTACTCGTGATTGTAAATACATCAGTGTTTTTTTCCTATGCTTTATGAGTCTTGTATTTTGCATTTGTAAAATACCCTGAGAAGGGTGTTTTAGGGATTACAGAGTATGTTTGTAAAGTCCCCAGCAGCAGGGCCTCATACATAGTAGATGCCCAAATGGTGCTGTTAGTATTGTGCATTTTATTTATAAAGCCTGGTAGAAAGGTTAAATGTGCTTGTATTTATTTATTAAAAATAGGTTTATACCCATATCTACAGCACTGTGCTTCAAAGTTATGTCTTCAGTTTTTACTGACATAAGAAATGTTTATGTGTACTCTTATATATATCATTCATATTTATAGTGTCTTATTTATGAGATCTCTGGAAAGCAATTCTTGGTTAATCCTAATATTGGGGACTCCTGAGCAGTTGATGAGGTTTTTATTTTACAGACATAGTTTATGTCTGTCAGGTTAAGTTTCTTCTCCTTTTTCTTTTCTTTTCTTTTTTCTTTTCTTTCTTCTTTATGACTGCTAGAAAACTTGCAGCTAAATTGGGACCTCTTGGTAACAAGAATACCAATACCTCTAAGTGGAGTTTTATATTAACTACAGTAATCTATTTTATTTTTTTCAGGAGCTTGAAATTGTAATTGGAGATGAACATATTTCTTTTACAACATCGAAAATAGGTTCTCTTATTGATGTAAATCAGTCAAAGTAAGTATGCTGAAGTATTTTAACTAAATTGACGTAATTTAGGGATGTCTGGGTGGCTCAGTCAGTTAAGTGTCTGCCTTCGGCTCAGGTCATGATCCCAGGGTCCTGGGATTGAGTCCTGCATCGGGCTCCCTTCTCAGCGGGGAGCCTGCTTCTCCCTCTGCCTGCCGCTCCCCCTGCCTGTACTCTCTCTCTCTCTCTGACAAATAAATAAAATCTAAAAAAAAAAAAAAAAAAAATTGACATAATTTATTTGAAAGGGCCATTTTAGAACAATAGCCAGTTTTCTAGGGTTATTTCAGTGGCAATTTATCGGTTTATTCTGCAGATATAATTTTGACTTTTATGTCATTGAAGACTTGCTGTCATCTACTTAGCAGTGTGTTTTTCTGATTGTCAAATCTTAATCTGACCATATGCATAACAGCAACCAAATTCTAATAGCTATTTTTGGTAAAAATCTGGATAGAGTTTCATAAAACTTAAAAGAAATCCTATTGGATTATATCAGCCTCATTAGCCTAATACCACATCATTCTCCTCCTTGAGTTTAATATTTGAAAGAAATTGAAGAAAGTCAGTATAACTTAAGTATGGCTTTAGCTTCCTCTGTCTTCCCAAGTTTATCTCCTCTGGGCCTTTGTAGGACATAGTATTGTTTTTGTACGAAAAATTTCTATGCTTCCACTTCTTTTCTGTCTTATGCCTCAGAATGTTTTCTTAGTGCTCTTTCTTCTATCACCCTAACTTGTAAGAACTTGCTTGCTTTTCTGGTTTGAATGTGAACTCCATGAGAATCTTGCTGTGTCACCAGTTAGCACAGTGCCTGGCATACAAGAAGTGCTTTGTAAATATTTATTAGAGGAAGGGAGAAAGGAATGAATGCATAGTCACTATTGGATACAAAAGGCTACATTCATAAAGACCAGTCAGATACTTTTGAACTATCAAGTTGATTTTCCCACAGTTGATGAGGATGTGGCATTCATACCCTAACTAGGATTTTAAATTGGTACAGTGTTTTTTGGAAAACAGTTTGATAATTATGCATCAAAAGCTGCTAGCATTTTATTTTTTTAATTTATTTTCATTTTTATTTAAATTCAATTAGTTAACATATAATATATTGTTAGTTTCAGAGGTAGAGGTCAGTGATTCATCAGTTTTATATAATACCCAGTGTTCATTACATCATGAAGCTGCTAACATTTTAAATTCATGGTTGCTGGAGGGGAGGGGGCTGAGTGGATGGGGTAATTGGGTGATGGGCATTAGGGAGGGTTGTAATGAGCACTGGATATTACATAACACTGATGAATCACAGTCCTGTACCCCTGAAACAAATAATACATTGTATGTTAATTAACTAAATAAAAAAAAATAAATTCATCTTTGACTTAGTAATTTCATTTCTGAGCATCTACTTTAGGGAAATACTCTCAAATAATGAAAATGCTGTATTCATGAAGATGGTCATTGAAGTCTTTTTTTTTTTTTAAGATTTTTTATTTATTTGAGAGAGAGACACACAGCGAGAGAGGGAACACAAGCAGGGGGAGTGGGAGAGGGAGAAGCAGGCCTCCTGCCAAGCAGGGAGCCCGATGTGGGGCTCGATCCCAGGAC